TGCATTTGTAACTCATCTTATGTTTCTTTGTACAACAGACTTGTATATTTTTGTAACTCGTAGCTCAATAAGTTATAGTGTCAACTTCTGATCCCATGCTTCCTATTTCTCGAATATGAACATGACTATAAATTCATTACATTGCCATTCCATCTCAAAAAAATGAAAGGCTAATGTCCAGATTTTCAACGTACCTAAGTTTAACTCATTACAGCAATAGCATATTTACACACACAAAAAAATGTTTGGCTCCTTCTTAACTTTAGGCTAAATAGTTTTAAAAGTATAGTAATTGCTGTGTATTATTTTAATGTTGTGCTTGGAAGAATTAACTTGATGAAGCAAAAGTCGACACTTTATTGTACATTGCCTTATATTAAAGATTTGCAAAATGCTTTTAATCGTTACTAAAGAGTTAGGTGAATAAATTCCCTTCAAACAATTAATTCTTGTTTATAACATTAATATATTTTCATTTAATAAAATCACTTTTTTTTCAATATGATGGTTATAAGTTCAATGTCAGTATTTAAAACCGTCTAAAGAGCGAATTGTACAATAAAGGGATAAAACAATTTGTGTATATTTCAAATTCGATGACGAGGAACCCATTTTGAGACTAATAACGCTTGGAGACGGCTTGAATAGGTAATGAAGAAAAACTTTAATATAAGTTTAACATAACAGCAAATGTACAATGTTTCGACAAGGTTGATGACAAAACCTCCAAGCATTATTTTGTGTATTTTGTTACGACAGCGGAAGTCACGCGACACTGGAAGTATGCGCGCTGGAGCTTCTAGAAGGATCCTGACTTTTCCTCGCAACTCTAGTCTGTTCCAGGCGCCCTCTTTTATAGTATATAATTCCGGCAAATAAAGGGGAGAGATAATTTTGCAGATAGATAGATATAGAGACAGATAATATAAAGTGTGTGTTTTGTTATCGAGATTGCAAACGTATTGACAGTGGAAATTCTGTGTATTGCAAAGTTGTATCGAGAAAGAATAAACTAGTTTTAATTAAGAAGGGACTTGTATCGCTGAAAGAATTTCTACGGGAAAGTAACAAACGACCAGATACGTAACAATACGTATACGAAATCATAGAAAGTTCATTTCACTGGTTTCGCACTAATGAAGCCAAAATAATTTTAATTACTATGCCAATCTTAACAATGGTACTGAATATTGTATCATAACATCTCTCCAAGGTATTGCAAACCTTGATCGCATTGGCTTTCTCCACAGTTCCCTGACCTCATCACTGTCCACTTTTGGTTATGGAAGTTTCTGATGATGTGTGTCTGTTACCATCATCTGGAGATTTGATGACTACTACTTACTGCAATAAATTATACGCTCACGCAAAATATATTGCCTGTAGGTTATACAGTTTGATCTGTGGTATTTTGAGGTAAAAACTATTGATTGGTATCAGACAGACGGATCCGCAAGTAACTGCAGTCTTCCCTTTGTTTGTGTAAAATAATATTAAAACCGATAAAGTTAGTAAAAAATTAAAACAATATTTATTATTGAACAAACAAAAATATAATGTAGCGTACATGAAAAGACAGGCGTTTTTAGTACGCTGTGCTTAGTCTTATAGCTTTCTCTCTCTCTCTCGCTCTTGGGATAGACTTATGTTGAATGAGCTTCACTCTATTACCTCCTTACAGAATGAAATAAAGAAAGCACGTCGGAATTTAATAGGTAAACTCACTTTCTTTGTCCAATCGACAACGTCACCTCGTGTCCTTTGTTCTTTCACAGCATTGATCAGTTGTTACTACTATTCAATATCATTCTCGGAAACCAAAGGGTATTACAGTGTTAATCCTTTTAACCCAGATGCTTGTTGAAAATTATCTCTGTAGGTTAGCTCCATAGATAAAAAACTGGCCGGGTTGAATAAAAGCCGATGGTTGTTATAAATGTAGTGCAGTCAAACTGGATTATTGTCACAAGTGGGGTACCTCAGTACTCAGTGTTAAGACCTTTGCTCTTTTTGCTTTTCATCTGTGACATAGATGAAGGAATGTTATAAATTTTGGTAGGGTAGGAATCATTTTCAGCTAAAATGGCTTTATTTTTATAATAGTGTGGTTAGCCTTTGCAATTGGTTGCCTTCGCGTATGGTGGATGCAGTTAATTTAAGGGAAAACTATCTTTTATTAATTTGTCTCACATATATGTTAAATATATATATTTTTTTCATTATCACTTGGCAGTGGTACTACTGAATATTGTATCATAAAATATGTCTCAGGTGTTGCTAATTTCGATCGCAGTAGCAATGTCCACGATTTCCCAACCTCAACACTGCTGACTGTTGGTAACGGAGATTTCTGAAGATGTGTGTCTGTTACCATAACCCAGAGATTTGATGAATGTTACGTGCTGCAGTAAGTTAATCACGTACACAAAATATACTACCCAAAAGTTATACAGTTTGCTCTGGTATATTTTTAGGCAAGAACTGTTGATTTCTCAAGCTTCATTAGAAGAAAAGGTAATTATTTTTGTTACATTAGTCTTGATAATAAATATTCACTTAAAAATATCTTACCTATCATACTGGAGCTATGATGTTTTACCAGTGTAATCCAGCTTAAAAAAACAAGTCCGCAAGATTTGACTCAAACACTACTTTGTGTGATGTTTTCGAAACATTATGGAGTTGATGTCTAAATTTTCTGTCTTTTATATATACATATTTACTTTTCTGTTGTCGACGTTTATTTTTAGCTGAGACATACCAAATGGCCTTGTGATTGATTTGTATTTAATATAATAGGAATGGATTTAAAAAGCTTATTAATAGATTAGACTGTCCCGTGAAAACTGTTCAGGTCAACGTAATATCTAATAATAATCGTAAAAAAAACTACAAAATGTGAAACCACAAATGTAGCATGCATCTCCTCGTGGACCCAACAAAACTTCATGCCAAATTTGGTGAAGATCCACCAACAGGGGACGAAGTAGTGGTAAAAAACACAAAAACGCCCATAAAAACAGCAAAACTCAAAATACAAGACTGAACATTTTTATATATCTCCCCATAGATCTAATGAACCTCCACACCAAATTTGATGAAGTTCTATCGACAGGAGATGAAATAGTGGTAAAAATACGCCCATAAAAACCGCAGAATACAAAACTAAAAATTTGTATATACCTCCGCGTGGACCTAATGAACCTTCATACCAAATTTGGTGAAGATCTATTCAAACCCTGCGAAGTAGTTACATGGACATGCAACAGACAGTACTATTATATTTATACAGATGTAGGAGTTTAGCCAGCATTACAGTAGGGAATCCCCCGAAAATGTGAAATGTGATCTTCTTCTATTTCTATACTGGGTGTTCATTCGCCACCGAACCTTTCTGGCTGTTCTCCTGATATGACTTAACTTTTTGAATTATACTATTGGTAATAACAGAAATAAACTAAATAGTAGCTCTTTTTTTTATAGATTCTGGCTAAATAATATGAAATTTTGTTTGTTTACTGTTAAGCACAAAGCTATATAATGTCTGCTGTGCCCATCACGAGTATCGAAACCTGTTGTTTAGCGGTGTGAGCACTCAGATCTGCCGCTGAGCTTAAATTTTTAGCTAAGACATACTAAATTGCCTTCAGATTGATTATGACACCTCTTTCAAGTCTAAATTTATAAGTTTTAATAAATAAACAAGAGCCGTATTTGGAATCACTTTGTATTAAACCACAGTATTAGCATTCTGAATTTTCACTTTTCAGCCACCCAGCTCAAGACAGCAATGAAAAGTTGTGAGTTATCATAAATAGTTCAGTAACTGCTAATGTATGTTTCCATCCCTAAAATTACGAATTTCTCATAGACAAAAACTGCAAGCCACTAGAATTCATAAATTAGTTTGAACATTGACAAACAGGGTGATATGTTTAGATTTAACTTTTAGTTTTATAAATTTGAGCAGTAAGTTACTCCTCCATCTTCAAGTTTAAAAATGGCTTTATCATCATAAGATTTATAATACTATTTAATAGTTAAATACCTAATAATAAACATATACAATTAAACTCAGTTGTGATTTAGTTTTAAATCAGGTAACATTAGATTTAAATCAGTCTGACTTTTAGTTTTACATCATATATCGTTTCTACAATATTACAAATCAACCATCCATTACAACAGTTGTAGTTATCAATAGTAACACTACAGTATAAACTAGCTGTAAAATTTAACTACGTTAATTTTGCAACATACACAAGCAACAAAGAAGCTAAAATAATTACCACACTAGCAAAAAGAAAACTTTATTATTATTTTTTAACACTGAACCAGTGAAAAACCTAGTGATGCATCAAGCCCCCTTGGGGGAAACCAAAATGAAAGTGTCACTCAATCCCCAATGTTTCGACTCATACCCCAAGCTCGTAACAAATGAAAATAGTTTGTGGTAACAGGCTTAGGGTGTAATCGTTACATCTAGATACTAGCGCCCTCTTTTCAGCCCGAATGTTGAATTGAAGCCACACCCACAGAGCTTAGGTTTTGTATATAAGTCGTCACATACAACCTGCGCGAATAACTTCACTTTGGCTGACAACTAAATTGTGTAAAACTTTTTCAACAGCGGCATCCTATATTCAAGATGGTTTCACAGGTAAGATAATAATTTGTAAAGTTTTCAATACATTATACTTTGGAGTTGGTGTCCAAATTTCCTGTATTTAATGTATATTTATTTTTCTATTGTATTCGTTTATTTGAAAAAACAATTACATTTTGGTATTTTTTTCGATTGTAAGTTCAAATTAGGCCAAAAAATGTCGTTAAAAACTGCTTACCTTTTATTCATATACCATAATACACACAAAACGTTACGGAAACTTAAGATTATACCAACCAAAAGAACTTCAAATACTTAAATCAAAATTATTTTGGATTGTCTAAGGATACTGTTTCAAAATTCGACAGGATAGTTTCAGTATCAAAACATTCTTTTGGATTGTCTTAGAATAGTGTTTCGAAATTCGACAGTATAGTTTTAGTACCAAAACACTCTCGTGTTTTCGAATCTGTTCTCTTTATGCATTGTCGATAAAAAGTATCGATTTAATAATATACCAAAATGAAAATTTCATCAAACATTTTTGTAGAGTGTTTATAAAGCAACGTCTTAATCTTGCTGTCTTCATCAATGGTATATTTAGATATTTTGCCGTCGATTTATCAACAAAATTTCTTAAGGATTAATTAAAAGTAGCTTCAATCATAAATGGTTATGTATCGCATAAAAAGGGAAATAACATAGGGCACTTTTTAAACAAAAATCTGTTTACCATTTCAATGTTAAAAAGTTTCACTATTTCGAAAAAATAAATTATAATTCCAGCAAATAATACTTAACTTATTTATCATTCAAATTTGCAATTATTTTCACTGAGATTTCTTTTTTCAGGTGCATGAATTTGAAGTGGAACTGACTTCTCAGGATTGTGTCGACGTTATTAAGAAAACCATGGAAGGCATGGAAGGTCAGTTCATAACTTGAGAATAAAGAGATAAGATAGGAACAGTAGAATTAGCGGTTAGGTTTGTCAAGTAAAATGTTGAAAGCAAGCATATTTTCTCGTAATTTCTTCCTTTTTTTTTTACAAAAACTTAAGCTATTTGTTATTTGTAAAACAGTTGCTTGCAAATGCACAGGTAATAGACTATGTTGCTTAAAAGGTGTAACATGATTTACTGAAATGCACCAAATTATCAGATTTGTTGTTACAAAGGGTAGTCTTCAAAATAATTCCATTACGTTGGAATTACGAATTTCTCTTTGTTTCTCGTTTGTTATCAATTAAAAATTCCATGCTTATTCATTAAAGGTAAGAACTTTCTTGATTATATAATAGGCATATCATATGTTCCATTTATGACTGGGATTCAGTGTTGTTTAATATTAGTTAAACACAGAACTCATATGGACGGAATTATACGCTTAATTGAGATAGCTTAAAGAATCACCAGGAAGTTTTTAAAATATTTCCCGTTTAGACGTCCATCGTGCTACTATGATATAGTTTTAAGGCAGGACAATGTACTTTGTATATTACAACAGAGGCACATGCATGTCAAATGATACTTGTTACCACTTAATATGTCCTTTTAAACTCTGACGTAGCTTGTGTAATTTGAAACTACTATATAGTAACTTGTCATACTATACGTGCTACTTACTATTAACTTATTTATTACAGATGCCGTTTTCACTTGATAACTCTAAGGTCAAGAAATCCAACAATCTTGGGTTCTTTAGATAATTGTATATAGTTTAACATGAGTGACTTAGTAGCGAAGAAAAATATTTTTTTATCCTAGATAATGGACAATATGGGGGACTTATGGTGGTCGTTTTAGCTTATTGTACTCACATCCTTAACTATTTGACTATATTCATTTCAACTGATTTAAGCCAGCAAAAAGTAACCAGGTTATGTGTAAATCAGAGCGAACTAGGTATAAATTATTAGCGCAATAAGCACTTTAGGCGTAAGAGAAAAATCAAGATTGCAATGAATATTTTAGTAAAAATATGTGCAAAAAGCACTATAACCTGATCATATACTTTACGTTTTAACATAATTTATAACTTAAATCTTTATGACACATGGGAATAAAATATTCTTTCACAACAGACCTATTTAGTATACTTTATTAACAATGTATAACCTTGTTCTTAAAACGTTTTTCATGACGATGTTTAATCAAACTTCTTCCTGGACCTTTTGTAACATAGTATATATTTTTTTCAACACTGATATTTTTCAAGGAAGTAATATATATATAGAAAGTTAGATAATTTGTCGATGTATTCGGTTCACTTACTTGCTCATTCATCCTGACAAAAAAAAAGAGGGATGATGGTGAAGATCTGTTTCTCAAATAATGTATAATCTCACCTAAACCTATTAGTTACCTAATAACACATGTATGCTGTACAGTAATCTACACATTTTTCTTAGAATCTTAAGCCAATCCGAAGTTCCATTTTAAAGATAAACAAAGGAATAAATTATATAACGATTCAGTAAACAGAACTTGAGTTGTTTTCCTAGAATGTAACTAAGATATCTATAACCACGTGTTCATCGTGATGTAATTTAACTCACTTTACTATTAACGCATATATTACCCATGAGCTATACGTAATACATAAATCCTATCGTGCTGCACGAGAAAACAGTACTCCTTTCTTTAGCAAGTACATCTGCGTGAGTCCCGTTCACCCACAAAGAAATAATGTAAACTAGGTTAATTAAGTTTAAATGGTCAGCAAGTTGTTGCTATTATGCCATCAGATAAGGTAAATATTTCAGTACAACATTTTTATATGTTATCCTAACAAGTAAAAAAAACACTTCGAACTCTAAAAACAAATGTTGTAACACTAGAGTGTTGTTTGATATGCATGTATTAGAAGTGGCATCCTCTTGCTCGCTAGGTTAACGTGTTTTGTACGGTTTAGTAAACACTGTATCATTTTGACTTTATCGTCTTGAAAAACGCATAAAACATTAACAAGCAAACAAAAAAAGAAACATTAAATGAGAACAAGGCCTAATTATGAATTGAATTTCATCTATAAAAAGATGTAAGTTACAAGTGTATGATTATGCTACTTACTATCATTATATTAAAAATCAGTAGTGTAGGTTTAAAAACATAGATATATCAGAACACAAGAAACTCGATAACCCGAGTGCTTTTGAAAATGCAGATCTCTGAAGAAGGAAGGTTGCTGGAACTTACTATTGCAAAATTGATGTAAAACGTAGACACAATATTAAACATTTTGTTTTTGGTTAGTCGTCGCTAGGTGCGCTGTTTCCATTTAAGCGTAAACGAATGTGATAATAATTGCACTTGGGTGAGGTGTTTTTTTATCACCTTCTTCATCGGTCCATTATGGCTTTGAAACAGGTGGTGTGTAATGGAAACATTCCATATTTTTTTTATGTCATGCATTCTACACCAGAATTCGTCTGCTAGGCAGTTTTTAGAAAGAATGGAAAATGATCAGTCTTTAATTCTTCATCATACTATTAATCGAACAAAACATGAACAATGAAATGAATCAACTGTAATCAAAATGTTATTTGAGTTTAATGAAATGTTATGTGCAAAAATAGTGTGCTAAGATCAAAAGCGAACTAATCTCAAACGCAAAAGTCCTCCAATCGGTCATCTAAACGCGGTCTCGTCAAGAACCTAGGTGGACGCCACAAGACATAAGAACAACTTTGTTTGTTTGTTGGCAGTTAAGCACAAAGCTACTCAATGGGCTATCTGTGCTCTGCCCACCACGGTTATTGAAACCCGGTTTCTAGCGTTGTAAGACTGTGGACATACCGCTGTGCCACTGGGGGGCACATTACAACAAATGCTGATGGACAAAAATATAAAATAAATGCAAGTAATAATGTAAACTTAGTAAATATGTATGTTTTACTGAGTTGTGAACCCTCTATCCAAAAATGGCATAAGCAATATATGAAAAATTTAACAGTTAGGATTTCAGAGTAATCGTACGCAATAATTTCCTCTCAAGTGATAAAAGTCTAAGTTAAGAAGTTCTATATTATATAAAAAATCAAAGTAGTATACTTCTGGAAACGAGAGGCGATCTTTCATGGATATTTTTGAAAAACTTGGATCTTGCTCAACTAGCAAAGAAAATGTTGGTTATGTAACAAAATCGCACGGATGGATGAATGAATGAATTTTATAACTAAGATAGCACAGTTGAGAAGCATTTTGTTTTACTAGCTAATCTAAGATAATTAGCGCGCTGAGTCACTCAGGAAAATTAAATTATTCGAAAACAAGAATATCATAGAAAAGAATAGAAACCTTGGATTTTTTTTACTATGACCACAAAGTATTTTGTTTTGTTTTTTAATATACAATACTGTGTATTTTAATTGGAGTGATTAAAATCTCCAGAGAGATTCAGCATTTAGTGGAACTAGTAAACCAGAGTTTAAAATTATCCTCTGAGAACGCCAAGCTTGAAGTTGAAGATATTTGAAAAGAAGTTCACGCAAAATGTTAGAGATCCATCTTATAAAGTTATGAAAACCATTTAAAGTAAAAGTTTAAATCTTTAACCCTTATGCTAGACAGAATTGAATACGTCTGAACATCGAGGAAAAGGGCTAAAAGAGTAGTTTGTTTCAAACCGAAACACCTGAATACGTTTATGGATAAACAAACTAAATAATTTGAGGCTTTCCGGTGTGTTACCTACAAAATCTTTTAATGTAGTTTTTTTTATGAATTATTAGTTTCTACAGACACGAGAAGTCTCTCTGAATTTTATGTTCAATAATTTTTTCCAAATAATTAATATTAACTTCTGATGAAATTAAGCTATCCACATATATTGTAACT